AGGGGGGCTCTGGGGGAGGGGGTATGGGCACCCCAGGCTGGGGGCAGCCTCTCCTCACCTTCCGTTCCAGGAACCTCGAGTACAGCTCTATGTCCTCCTCCCACGCCAGGGGCTTCTTCTCAAACACTGGGCGAGGCTCAATCTCATCTGGGAGCCAAGGGAGGAAGGTTGTGTATCCACCCCCAGAACCTCCCTCGGATACACAGGGACGCCCAAGAGCACCCAGATTGCAGGCAGGTGAAACCCAGGGATCCGCCCACATGGGCACAGTTGCTGGCAGTGGGTCCCTGCAAAATGACCCTCCCCTAATGGCCTTGGGGTCAAGGGCTGGAGGGCAAAGCTTCTTTATCGGATCTCCGGCTCTGATGGCACCCATAGCACCCTCAATCCAGCCCCTGCAAGGTGGGGGGGGGGCTGGGTGTTCCCACTCTCCCACCAACTAGAGGCTTCACTCACCCTCCTCCCTCAAGACGGGCATCTTGGTGATGATGCAGCAGCCGGGGGAGCCCACCTGGACTCGCTTGGCCAGGTGCCTGGAGTGCCACACAGGAGAAGGTGTGCATTTTCCTAGACCAGCCCACTCTCTTGAAAGGCAGCCGTCCTGGGGGCTTCCCTTTACTGCTGTCCTCCCACTTATCTTTGAGTTCCCAGGTCAAGTTCATTTCTAATTCCCCCAGTAATGGCCCCTGCTTTTCAAACTGGGCACTGTTCCTACCCCTGAAGATACACGCTGGTGTGCCAGGACTGGACCAAAACCTTTAGAGTCGTAATCACTAAAAAAATCATGAGCCTCCGATATGTGACGTGCAAAACAACCACCACATGCTAAGTGACGAACTAAGGAAGTCCAAGAATGCTCTGATTACCCTGTTTAGTGTAGTGAGTATGTCAATACCTCTTCAGAAATGTCAAGAAACAAATTCTTCTCCCCCTCCCACATTTCCTCAGGGTTTGGTCGCCTGCATGTTGCTGATGACAGCTTAGTCGTGTGCCAGAATGCTTCTCCCAGCATCTTACTGCGTGTTGAGTCGTTCAAACCTCGGTGTTTATCAGTGTGAAACCCGGCACCTGTGACAGCTGCATTAACTATGCCTTAGGTCCTGGGGAATTGGTGTGAGCGTCCTCTGCCATGTAGGGCCCTGTGGTGAGGTCTGGGAGGCATCATGAGGACCAGGAGAGGAAGTGAGTAAGTGAAGAAAGGGTGAAAGGTGTGGATAAAGCAGGGGCACTCAGATCTCAACAGCATCTCTTCCTGGTGGTGTCCCCAGAAACAGTGGTCTTCCTTCTCCCATCAGCCTCCAAGGCTGAGTGCCAGGCTGTGCTCACCCTGCCCCCTGGGACTGCCCCAGTCGCTCACCCGTCAGACAGCAGGTAGAACTGGCAGGAGAAGGGGATGCCCTCCACCGAGTGCACGGTCTGCTCCACGATGAATGTGTCCGCCTGCTGACGGTCCACCTGGATGGTCTGGGAGCCCAGGGCTTTCTGGGCAGCAGCCAAAAAGGAGAGAAGGAGGGGAGGTGGATGCCCACCAGGGTCTCTCTGACAATCTTTCCCTGGCCCTTTTCTCCTCTCACAGCTTCATTCCTTGTTCATCAGTGATGAGCAACAATTGGCTGTCTAGGCACCACAAGATTTGAGTTGTGCCCCCAAAGTTAAGTTGGGGGTCCCCTCATAGCCAGCACCAGCCTGTTCCTGCCCCAATCCCTCCCCATGACCACGTGCTTCTAGTTGGCAGATTCTGCTACAAGGATGAGGATCAACCAATTAGGTGTGAGTGTGTGTGTGTTGGGGTGGGGGGCAGTGGAGCTCTGAGGGGTGGGACTCAACTAGGATTTGTGGCCCCTCCTGCTGCAGGCAGGATGCCCTGCTGGAACTAAAACATAAACCCCTGGTGGGGCTGCAGCCATGGGGAGAAAAGTGCTAACGCAAAACATGTGTTTCCAAGAAAACAGGGGTAAATGGCACGTGCCTGTTTGTGTCAAACACATTGCTAGGGCTCCCTGCAATATGTGATAGAAAAGACTAGAATGTCATTCACAAAGTTGGTCAAATCAGCCCCTAGTGTGTGTCCAGAGGCACGGCTTTAAAATCACGTATTGCAGGGAGTCCTAGATATGTTGATTATGAAATTTTAGCCAAAACAAAAGAAAGGGGGAAAAAAAAAGGAAGACCCTTCAGGGTTAAGACACAATAAAGAATATTTAAGTGTACTTGGAGATACTGCATTTCCTGATGTTAAAAAATGTTTCTTTTTCCTGGACTGAGTGTTGTTTCCCTCAACTGCTCACCTTTTAGTCCCTCTCCTCACTCCACCTGCCCCTGCTTGATCTTCTCGTTAACAAATGAGGCCTTACCTTCTCCTGCCTGTGGAAGCCCCTGTCCCTTGGCCTGGTTTCATCCCCATTCCACCCCCTTCCACTCTGTAGTTTTCTCTTCCCCCACCTCAGCATTCTCCTGCCCCTTCTAGTTTTCCCCAGGCCAAGTCCACGCCCCTCTCCCCCCGCCCTGCCGGAGATCCCTCACGTAGGTGGAATAGCAGAATTTGCCCTCCATGTCCAAGGCCAGGAAGCGGGCATTACTGGGCACCATCTGCCTCCAGGCCATCACCCTCAGCAGCAGCAGGTTGGCAGCCTGGGAGATGAAGCCCGCAGTTGAGTGCCAGGGGAAGAATGTCACTTCGTTCCTCACTTCCTGTTCAGGACAAAAATGTGTTAGGAACATAGAGCCAGAAAGGGACAGGGAGGGTGGGCAAGCCAGGTGTTGGGCATACAGTCCTCACTGAGCCCCCACTCCAGGTTCTGATGCAATTTGGCCTCCTGGTGTCCAGAGGATATGGAGGACGGTCCCCACCTGGCTCCCACCCTCACCTCACCCTCCTTGATACTTCTGGTCATGGCCAGCTGGTCCCCCTGCTTCAGCAAACTCGTCTTCTGCTCCATGGGGAGGATGTGGAACTGAGGGCCAGAGCATGGAGAGGAGAATCAGGGACTCCCAGGATTGCATACGAATGCCCCCCTCCCCCACCAAAGGTCACCTTATCCATTCTCCTTTATAAGTGAGAAAACCAAGGGGAGATTCGGATAGAAAACCTTCCATGTGCAGGAAAGGCCAAGAATAGAAGTCATGTGATGGTGCAGAATAAAGTTAAAAAGCAAATACACTTCAAATACAGGCTTTCAAAGATGGGAATGGTTTGTGTGGGAAGGTTTTAGGCAAAAGGGGCTTCCACAGTGTAAGCAGATCACGTTCCAGAAGTTAATGACGTGGCTGGGGCGGTTGTGAGGGGCACAGAGCAGGAGAGTTTGGAGGCAGGTGGTGACAGGCCCTTAGGAAAGGTCAGGTTCTGGGAAAGGTCAGCCAGCGTAGACCTAGGAGATGCCCGGCTCTCAGGCTGGAGGGGTCCAGCGTTTGTGTATTAGAAGGTCCTCAGAAGCAACCTGCTGCTGGCCTCCTGTTCCCTGGATGGATCGTTTCCCAGGCTTTTGTAGGGATTACAGGGTAACTGAGGAGAGAGTTAGGGTGACATTCTATTGAACCCCTTTCCTTTCTCTTCTCTTTCTCCAAGGGTCTCTATTCTCTCACCCTGGATTGGGGTCAAGGTTCGGGGCTCCAGAAGTTACCTTGACGAACTCCTGACTATGTTGTTCCATGATCTCCAGGTTCCACGTGAGATAGCCTGGGGCGGAAGGAGGGGAACAGTGCCATTGAGGGAGACAGTGTTGGAGATTGCAGGAGGGGAGGGTGGTGGCCCAGGTTGGAAGGCCCAAGTATAGTGTGGCCACAGCAAAAAACTAGACAAACTGATGCTCTTGTCCTGAGTCTCTCCCACCTCCCTCACACTCTCTGTGCCTCATTCTGGTCCCACGGTGAAGTCCAAGGGTTGGTACTAAGCAAAGTCCTGGGGATGGAGAAGGGGTGAAGGGGGGGTGCCTCGGGGGGGGAGGGAAGGTGTTCAGCAGCAGGGACTCTACCCAGGAGAGAGTTTCCGCAGAGCATCTTGTCCACGAAGCCACGGCTAAAGGCGTGCACGAGGGCGCATGGCGACATGGTGCCCATGTTGTCTTCGTGCTTCCCACTCTGCACCTCAATGGTCAGCTCTCCCTGAGGCTCCCCTGTTTGCGAGACCATGGCCAGAGTCTCGGAGAAGAACAGCATCTGCAGCTCCTCCTGCCCTGGGGGAGGGGGTTCCGTGGGGACAGTTAAAGCCCCAGCTCCAAGCCTCAACTCTCTGACCCCCTGGCCACTAGGGTCCCACAGTCCCTACCCACTCCCTCCTCATCCCCGTCTCCCAGGCAGCCCCTACAGCAGCCAGCAGGTGAAGACACCCCCAGCGACCCCCATGTCCCTGCTCTTCCCTTGAAAAATATCAACAAATATCAACCCTTTCTGAGTCCCAGGAGAATCAAGGCTGAGAGAGACCAGGCCAGGTCTGGGCCTTCCTTCTCTCTCCCCTCCTCTCCACACTTGTGCCCCCGCCCCCCTGCCATACACACACACACACACACACACACACACACACACACTGCCCAGGCTCACTGAGGGAGTTGAGGAAGTGAATGGCTTCAGCATTGGCCTCTGGGGGCGGCGGACTCTCTGGGGCTGGGGCCGGCTGGTCCTTGGCCTTGAGGCCTATGGAAGGAAAGGAAGCTGGGATGGCCGACCCCAGAGAGAAGGACAGGGGTGGGCACTGGTCCCAAGAGCAGACTCCTCGAAGGCTACCTCCGGGCAGGTTGTGAGGGAGAAGGTCGCCCTCCCCTCTCCAGCCCCAGCAGCCCTCTTCCCACCTTTGGAATGAACTTTAGAGGACATGCTGCCTGCTGCCTGCTGCCTGCCACCCAGTCTGTTTCCAGCTGTCTCCATGGCAACTGGGAGCTAGCTACTGCCTCTTAAAGGGCCATTAGCCACTTCACCAAACACCCAGATCTTAGAGCAGTGGTTCTCAACCTTCCTAATGCCGCAACCCTTTAATACAGTTCCTCATGTTGTGGTGACCCCCAACCATAAAATTATTTTCGTTGCTACTTCATAACTGTAATTTTGCTACTGTTATGAACCGTAATGTAAATATCTGATATGCAGGATGTATTTTCATTGTTACAAAGTGAACATAATTAAAGCATAGTGATTAATCACAAAAACAATATGTAAATATATGTGTGTTTTCCGATGGTCTTAGGCAACCCCTGTGAAAGGGTCGTTCGACCCCCAAAGGGGTCGCGACCCACAGGTTGAGAACGGAACTGGTTGGAATTGCATGTGGGTTCCGGGACTCAGCCCAAGCCTGAGGTACTGTCCAGCAGAGGGAGCATGTGACATTCTTAAGAGGCAGGATGATGACATGGATGATCAGAATGACCTTAGATGTTGTGGCCCTGAGTCAGACTGCCCTCACACACAGAACCCAGTTCAGAACCCAATTCGATGGCCTGTGAATAGCGCTGCAGGCTGTGGTCCTAACTCGTAACAGAGACGGTGGTACAGTGACAGTGCAGCAAACTCATAAACCATGCTGACACTAGGTCAGGCACTGTCCATGGGGCCTCACGTACATGATCTCAACCTGCAGAATAATCTTGTGAGCAGGCACTTCCCCCCTCCATTTGATGGCTCAGAAAACGGAGGCACCAAGAGATTAAATGTCTTCCCAAAGTCACACAGCTAGTAACTGGCAGAGCCAGGACTCAACCCAAGTCAGTCTGGCTCCAGAGTCAGAATTCAGAGAAATGAAGAATTAAATACATTGAACCTAAACAAATGGTGCCATAACATGGGTAGTAATTAAAGACAAAGGCTTGAAAATTGAGTTATGATGTATTCAAACCCCAGGCTCTGGGCCATCTGATCCCCACTTGTAAGTGTTGGTCTGGGTGAGTGGCTATAAAAGGGGGCTCAACCTGATAGGGTCACACAGAAGAAAAACCTTGGGAGGAGGTGGGGAGGTGGGTGGAAAAGGTGAAAGAAAGTATTAAGAAGTACAAACTGTCAGTTATAAAATAAGCCCCAGGGATGCAATGTGCAGCATAGGGAATAGAGTCCATAATATTGTAATTACTATGTACGGTAACAGATGGGTACTAGATGTATTGAGGTGATAACTTTGTAAGGTATATAAATACCTAATCACTATGTCGTACACATGAAACTAATATAATATTGTATGTTGACTATAATTTTAAAATAAGTAAATAAAAGAAAAATCTTGACATAAAATCTTAGTCAGCTAAGGAGGTGTGTTCCTCACTCCCCATCCCCTCCCCCACACCATATCACTTGGGAAGGTAAACTTCAGATAGCTTTTTACTGGGTAATTATCTATCAACTTTAGGAAAATTTAGAATTATGTGTGGAACTGTTTAAGAGAATCAAACTAACAGTGTTAATGTGTGGGGTTTTTTTTGTGTGTGTGTGTTGCATTGTGCATATTTGGTATTTTAAGTACTTGAAATGTTTAAAATAATTTGGCATGGTGGGGTGCTTAAAAGATGAGCCTGGAGATTCTAATTTAAATCAGACAGTTGAATCATTTATTTAGACTGTTCTTCGAAGTTAAATTTTTTTAAAAATATATTTTATTGATTTTTTACAGAGAGGAAGGGAGAGGGACAGAGAGTTAGAAACATCCATGAGAGAGAACCATCAATCAGCTGCCTCCTGCACACTCCCCATTGGGGATGTGCCCGCAACCAAGGCACATGCCCTTGACCAGAATCGAACCTGGGACCCTTGAGTCCGCAGTCCGACGCTCTATCCACTGAGCCAAACCGGTTAGGGCCGAAGTTAAATTCTTATTGGGATTGTAAAAACATTAAAACAAAAAAAATCTTCAAATTCACTGTATTTAAATGTTTACTTATTAGAATGCAATAAAAGTACTTGGGAGGTTAGTTTGTCAATCAATTGCTTTATTTAAAAAAATTTTAAGAGAACTGAGTTCTTTTCATTTTACTTAATTTTTTTCCAGCTTTATTGAGATGTAATCATTATACAGCAATTACTTTAAAAAAGAAAATATGGCCAGTGTGGCTCGGTTGGTTGTGCTGGTCAGTGCACCTGGCGGGCTCAATCCCCAGTAGGAGGCCTGCAGAAGGCAGCTGATGGGTGTTTCTCTTTCACATTGATGTCTCTCTCTCTCTAAAATAAATTAAAAAATATTTTTAAAAAGAAAATATGGTAATCTACTTACATATAGGATAAATAAGTGCAATATAAACTGCCTAAAGCCATTTTAATTTTAAAAAGAAGACCATTTAGTAATCAAAGCCCCCTTAGAGGTTATTAATAGTCATTAGATTTGTGATTAGAATGATATGACTGGTAATTGAACTTAAGAATTTTTGAAATGCTTATGTTTTAAAATATGCATTTTAAGAAAGTGAGCATTAATTTTTAAAAGCCAAAGTGATTTATGAATAAGCCTCTCTCTGCACGTGAGCCATCAGTGGCAGTAGGAAAACTCACAGTTGCTTTGGAAAGCAGTTTATTAGTTCCTCAAAAAGTTAAACATGGAGTTACTGCATGACTTAGCAATTCCACTCCTAGGTATATACCCAAGAGCATTGAAAACATGTCTATGCAAAAACTTGTACACAGATGTTCATAGCACCATTATTTATAATAGTCAAAAAGCGAAAGCAACCCAACTGTCCATCAGCTGATGAATGGATAAGCAAAATGTGGTGTATAAATGCAATGGGATATTACTTAGCCATGAAGGAATAAAGTGCTGATACATGCTAAATGGATGAACCTTGAAATCATATTGAGTAAAAGAAACCAGTCACAAAAGACCACATATTTATGATTCTATTTATATGGCATGTCCAGAACAGACAAATCTAGAGACAGAAAGTAGATCAGTGGGTGGTTGCCTCGTTGGGGGTGGAGTGGAGGCATGGAGGCAGCGAGTGACATTAAATGGCACAGCGTTTCTATCTGAGATAATGAAAATGTTCTAAAATTAGATGGTGGCATGGTCAGAAAACCGTGCCTGTACTAAAAACTACTGAATCGTGCACTTTTTAAAAGGGTGAATTTTGTGTTATGTAAATTATATCTCAAAGTTGTTAACAAAAAAAAAAATAGAGGATTTAAATAAAATCTAAAAAAAAGTAAACCCTATTGGTTTTATATGTAAATCACAAAGTTTTTTTTTTTCTATTCTTTTTTTCAAACACCTTGGAGGCCATATGTCTACCTCTTTTTCTTCTTCTTTATAATTAACTAGAGGCCTGCCTGGTGCATGAAAATTCATGCACTAAAGGGGGGGACCCTCAGCCCTGCCTGCTCCCTCTCACAGTCCGGGAGCCCTCAGGGGCAGGAGGCGACCCAGCGATCAGGGGAAGGAGATGCCCCATCAACCTCTGCTGGCTGCCACTGCCGGCAGCGCAAGCCTCGGTTGGCCCTGGGTGGCTGGGGGGCCGAGGGGACTGGGGGACTCCGGAGGCAGGCATGCGGAGCATGACTGCTGCCCTGGTGGGGCTGAGCACCACCATCTTGTGGCTGTGGGTGCCACCATCTTTGAGGGTCGGGCAGTCAATTAGCATATTCCCTCTTTATTAGATAGGATTATAGCATCAAAAATCTGATATAGAATTTTCCAAGGTGACTTCATATGCCTTTTCTCATCAGACTCTCCTAATAGTAAGTGGAATTGTTAGTGAAGGGTTATGATTTTGCTGCTTTGCATCATTTCTGGTATCAGACCTCCTGGTCCTTTGGGGGACTCTTTCCCTACTCTCAATGCACAGTGTTTCAGTTGGGTATGACACTGCCTTTCCAGGTATAGTCATGTGACCTATTTGGCCAGTCAGAGAGGTCCAGATACCTTATCCCTATGGTTGGTTCAGGGTTGGTCACATGACCCCAACGGGGCGTATGAAACTCGATCCCTAGGACTATGGGAGGTTCTGCTAAATGGTATGAACTAGTAGCCTGGAACTTCTAGAGACATCTTGATGCTGCAGGGAGAAAGCCTGACAGAGAACCATACCAATACAGAAGAAAGCAGATCTGAATGGTGATGATACTGTTCATATTCATGCCTGAACTTACCATGACATAATCCTATTCTTCTCCATTTCATGAGCTGATAAATTTCCCTTTTGGTCTAAGCTCCTTTCTGCTAAGTATTTGTCACTTGTCCTTGAAAAGGTTCTGACTCACTCATGCTTGTCATCTCCATTGGAAACTGAGGTCAGGGAAGTGACTTATCCAAGGCCACTTGGATGTTGAGTGACAGAGCTGGGATTAGAACTCAGGTCTCAAAGCCCAGTGACACCTGCTGTCCTACAAGCAAGGAACAAGTGGCCTGGTTGCTGCCAGTCAGTTCCAGCTCTGGGAGAAGCATGTGTCATCATTCAGGACAGATGCATTTGTGGGAGGATGACCCAAGGCCCTGGGAAGATGTGTCACCAGCATTAGAGGACCATCACCAAGGGCCCCTTGAAGCTGGGTACCCGGAGTGACCTGGCCCTGGGGCTGGCCCGTTCAAGACAGCAGTGACACAGAGACACAGACAACTGCCTTTCTTCAGGAAGGTCCCTTTCCCCACCCCCACCCCAGGCCCACCCCAGGTGCAGCCCTGATCCAGGACATCCTGGGCCAGTGCCACGCTCCCCAACTTGGGGTGAAGAGGAGCACCTCAGAGAGAAGGCAGAGGTATGGCCAGGGGTGGGAAAACTATGCCTTGAGCTGGCCCCAGGGAAATGTGGAGCTAAGCCAGTGCCAGCGCCACCTTCGAGAATTTTGCCATAGCCCTAAGCTGGTTTGTTCAGTGGATAGAGCGTTAGCCTGAGGACTGAAGGATCCTGGGTTCAATTCTGGTCAAGGGTACATGCCCGGGTTGTGGGCTCAATCCCCAGTAGCGGGTGTGCAGGAGGCAGCCAATCAATGATTCTCTCTCATCATTGATGTTTCTATCGCTCTTTCCCTCTCCCTTCCTCTCTGAAATCAATAAAAAAATATTTTAAAAAAGAATTTTGCCATAG